TACCACAAAGAAACAAATCGATATATTTTATATTGAGATAGAGATAGAGATATGATATAAAGATGGATGTATGACTTTTAATATATAGAGATGGATGTATGAGTGTTAAGATAAGAGTTTCCATTCCAGTCACAGTCAGGAGTCAGGACCCTAAACCCATAAAGAACCAACTTCTATCATATTGTAATACTGTGCGTGTCCCAGCCCAGAAACGGTCGCTGCCTGCCATGTCCGCCCGTTTATACCTTTTTTTCAGGAGATGGCAAACCACCTTGGTTGGGGGGCCCCAAAGCACATAGCCCGCATGACATGTTTATACATGCTGGTTACGAGGCTCATGGAAATAGGACTTCACCACACCACCCCGTCGGATTGCTGAGGTCGCCACGACAACGATGACTTCGCTGTGACTACTTGGGCCGGCCTCTGTGTAAAAGCGTCTGTGTGTACAAGTGATTGTGTGTAAAAGCGCTTGTGTGTCAAGCCGTCTGTGTGTAAAAGCGTCTGTGCGTCAAAGTGTTTCTGCGTAAAAGTGTTTGTGTGTAAAAGCTTCTGTGTGCACAAGCGTCTGCGTGTAAAAGCGTCTGTGTGTAAAAGTGTTTGTGTGTAAAAGTGTTTGTGTGTAAAAGTGTTTGTGTGTAAAAGTGCCTGTGTGTAAAAGCGTTTGTGTGTAAAAGCAGCTCCTGTCTGTAAAAAGGTCTGTGTGTAAAAATGTCTGTGTGTAAACATGTCTGTGTGTAAAAGTGTCCGTGTAAAAGCGTCTGAAAGCAGCTCCTGTCTGTAAAAAGGTCTGTGTCTAAAAGTGTCTGTGTGTAAACATGTCTATGTGTAAAAGTGTCCGTGTAAAAGCGTCTGTGTGTCAAAGCGTCTGTGTGTAAAAGCGTCTGTGTGTAAAAGTGTTTGTGTGTAAAAGTGTTTGTGTGTAAAAGCCTCTGTGTGTAAAAGCGTCTGTGTGTAAAAGCGTCTGCGCGTAAAAGCGTCTGTGTGTAAAAGTGTTTCTGTGTAAAAGTGTTTGTGTGTAAAAGTGCCTGTGTGTAAAAGCGTCTATGTGTAAAAGCTTCTGTGTGTACAAGCATTTGTGTGTAAAAGCAACTCCTTTGTGTAAAAGGGTCTGTGTGTAAAAGTGTCTGTGTGTAAACGTGTCTGTGTAAAAGCTTCTGTATGTAAAAGCTTCTGTGGGTAAAAGCTTTCTGTGTAAAAGTGTCTGTGTAAAAGCTTCTCACTATTTGGTCTTGATACTCCTCTTCTCGACTGCCTATAACACATCTTTCATACATCGTTTCTAAAATTGCGTCTCCATACTAACAAGAGAAGACCCTGCTCCTCTACGCTCTCGGGCCATCCGTCGTCTAGTATCTTTCTCTCTTAAGGCCGAGGGTGGTGCCGGCGGCGAGTCACGAAACGTCAACCCTTTCGCACGAAATGAGGGTCGATCGGCAAAAACTGAGGTAAAACTGCGATTTGACTTGTCCTGGAGCAACCCTTTCGCACGAAATGAGGGTCGATCGGCAAAAACTGAGGTAAAAGTGCGATTTGACTTGTCCTGGAGCAACCCTTTCGCACGAAATGAGGGTCGATCGGCAAAAACTGAGGTAAAAGTGCGATTTGACTTGTCCCGGAGCAACCCTTTCGCACGAAATGAGGGTCGATCGGCAAAAACTGAGGTAAAAGTGCGATTTTACTTGTGCTAAAGCAACCCTTTCGCACGAAATGAGGGTCGATCGGCAAAAACTGAGGTAAAAGTGCGATTTGACTTGTCCTGGAGCAACCCTTTCGCACGAAATGAGGGTCGATCGGCAAAAACTGAGGTAAAAGTGCGATTTTACTTGTCCTGGAGCAACCCTTTCGCGCGAAATGAGGGTCGATCGGCGAAAACTGAGGTAAAAGTGCGATTTTACTTGTGCTGTTCTTGTCTGTGTGTAAAAGCGCCTGTGTGTAAAAAGCGTCTGTGTGTAAAAGTCTCTGTGTGTAAAAGCGTCTGTGTGTAAAAGCGTCTGTGTGTCAAAGTGTCTGTGTGTAAAAGCGTCTGTATGTAAAAGTGTTTGTGTGTAAAAGTGTTTGTGTTCAAGTGTTTCTGTGTAAAAGCCTCTGTGTGTAAATGTGTTTGTGTGTGAAAGCGTTTGCGTGTAAAAAGCGTCTGTGTGTAGAGGTTGTCTGTGTGTAGCTACCACAAAGAAACAAATCGATATATTTTATATTGAGATAGAGATAGAGATATGATATAAAGATGGATGTATGACTTTTAATATATAGAGATGGATGTATGAGTGTTAAGATAAGAGTTTCCATTCCAGTCACAGTCAGGAGTCAGGACCCTAAACCCATAAAGAACCAACTTCTATCATATTGTAATACTGTGCGTGTCCCAGCCCAGAAACGGTCGCTGCCTGCCAGGTCCGCCCGTTTATACTTTTTTTCAGGAGATGGCAAGCCACCTTGGTTGGGGGGCCCCAAAGCACATAGCCCGCATGACATGTTTATACATGCTGGTTTCGAGGCACATGGAAATAGGACTTCACCACACCACCCCGTCGGATTGCTGAGGTCGCCACGACAACGATGACTTCGCTGTGACTACCTGGGCCGGCCTCTGTGTAAAAGCGTCTGTGTGTACAAGTGATTGTGTGTAAAAGCGCTTGTGTGTCAAGCCGTCTGTGTGTAAAAGCGTCTGTGTGTCAAAGTGTTTCTGCGTAAAAGTGTTTGTGTGTAAAAGCTTCTGTGTGTACAAGCGTCTGCGTGTAAAAGCGTCTGTGTGTAAAAGTGTTTGTGTGTAAAAGTGTTTGTGTGTAAAAGTGTTTGTGTGTAAAAGTGCCTGTGTGTAAAAGCGTCTATGTGTAAAAGCTTCTGTGTGTCAAAGCGTTTGTGTGTAAAAGCAGCTCCTGTCTGTAAAAAGGTCTGTGTGTAAAAGTGTCTGTGTGTAAACATGTCTGTGTGTAAAAGTGTCCGTGTAAAAGCTTCTGTGTGTCAAAGCGTTTGTGTGTAAAAGCAGCTCCTGTCTGTAAAAAGGTCTGTGTGTAAAAGTGTCTGTGTGTAAACATGTCTGTGTGTAAAAGTGTCCGTGTAAAAGCGTCTGTGTGTCAAAGCGTCTGTGTGTAAAAGCGTCTGTGTGTAAAAGCGTCTGTGTGTAAAAGTGTTTGTGTGTAAAAGTGTTTGTGTGTAAAAGCGTCTGTGTGTAAAAGCGTCTGCGTGTAAAAGCGTCTGTGTGTAAAAGAGTTTCTGTGTAAAAGTGTTTGTGTGTAAAAGTGCCTGTGTGTAAAAGCGTCTATGTGTAAAAGCTTCTGTGTGTACAAGCATTTGTGTGTAAAAGCAACTCCTGTGTGTAAAAGGGTCTGTGTGTAAAAGTGTCTGTGTGTAAACGTATCTGTGTGTAAACGTGTCTGTGTAAAAGCTTCTGTATGTAAAAGCTTCTGTGGGTAAAAGCTTTCTGTGTAAAAGTGTCTGTGTAAAAGCTACTGTGTGTAAAAGCTTCTCACTATTTGGTCTTGATTCTCCTCTTCTCGACTGCCTATAACACATCTTTCATACATCGTTTCTAAAATTGCGTCTCCATACTAACAAGAGAAGACCCTGCTCCTCTACGCTCTCGGGCCATCCGTCGTCTAGTTTATATTGGGGTTTTAATTTGATATTAGGGGAAAGCTTCGAAATCCAATTTTTGGTAATATTTTGATTAGATTTTAAAAGGACATCTAATCGATTTTGAATTAGAAAGAACAAGTTTTCTTCTTGATGTTCATTGCACAGGTAGAGAAATGCTAGATGACCTTGCAAAGACAAGTCAAGGACAGGCCTCCCAAAGAATGGCATCTGCTACAGAATCTGCTACAGAATCCCTATGGGAGTATCAATCTGTAGCGGCTTAAATCGTCACCACGGCAGGACGATTTAAACTTCACTACACCTTGGACTTCCCACCTTCCAATTGGAACCAGAAGAAGGGCTTCATCACCGCAGAAATGTGAGCCTGGCAACTTGTTTGGGGGGCAAGGCTGGTGCTAAATCCACTTGACACTTCGGTGCCAGGCTGCCATGGATTTCTTGGAGTCAGACTTGGGGTCGATGTCGTCATTAGACCCTAAGAAACCAAGAGAAAAGGCGAGTACTTCATCTCCCTGGACTAGGACACCCAGAAGTCCCTGATTTTTCTGGGGAGATTTTGGCTTGGTGTCCCCGCAGCTTTTTCTATCAAGATGGCATGGACGGAAGACATGCCACAAGTACATTCCTTGACTTGAGGCCTGCTTTGTGAAAAATCCTGTGATTGGACCGTGTCATGTTCCTATCAAGATGCTGTTGGTGTGTACCCAATTTTCAGACCCCATTTAAGATCATCCGAATTCAATGACACAGATGTTTCGAACCTTGAAATTTCAATGATACGAATTGAAGCCGCAAATGTGAAGGTGAAGGATGTAGCGAACCATCCCAATTTGTGGCTTAGCCAATGGCTTGATCATTTCCCTCGTAATCATCCCATGTGTTCAGAAAATCCACCATTTCAACAGTGATACTGTTGGGCATATGGCTGCCGGGGGTAGCCATATTTGGTGATATTTGCATGTATCACCTAAATATCATCTAGTGTATCTATTTTTCATTCAGTATGGTGATATTTGCCCACAACATCAAATAGTATCTAGTATCATCTAGTACCAAATATTTGCTTCATTAAACATGTCATCTAGTGTATCTATTTTTCTTCAGCAGCCACCAGGACAGATGATGTCTCAACAAGGTGCCAAATGGGTAACAAATCAGGAGCTGGATGGGATTATATATGCTACGGATCTACGGCTTGTCCAAGTGGGATGTGTGTACATATTATTACGTATGCATGTAATATCATGATTAATTAACCGTGTATACTTGATATGTATGCAATTGGTTTTATGGATTATTGAATAAGATGTCACAATCTGAATCCCTAAGTCATTGGTCTGGATGGTGGACCCTGAGATCACACGGCTACAGGTTTTTCCCATGACTGAAAAAATGTGGAGGTTTCCTAAAAGGGGGGTACCCCTAAATCATCTATCTTAATAGGATTTTCCATTACACACCATCCAGCTATTGGGGGATCCCCGTTTATGGAAACCTCCATATATTTGTATATTGTTAAAATGGCCGGAAGCCGAAACCAAGGCGCTTCGGAATTGTTTTTTAACTGGACCCTTTATGCTCTTTGATTTCACTTGGTTGGGGAATGGCCCATTGCTTGGTGAAAAAAATTATTCGTATCCAATATCCATCCAATCATGTTTGTTGGATTTGTCTCCATTTCTGTAATACTTCCCCCCGGAATCAAACATGGCTTGCTAGAAAATTCGAACTGTTTAGTTCGATGATGTTTCCAGTTCCTAGATGTGTAGGGGATTTCCCAGCTAGACATGTTCAATGTCCGGAGGGTATCACCATTATATTCAACATGAAAACCCTTTTATGATTATCAACATTTGGTCCCATTAAGTCAGATGAAACAAGCACAATGTCTCCATTATGCTTACTAATCAATGTATATATATATACATATGTATATAATATATATATATATGTTACTGTTTGAAGTGAAAACTGCACATGGGAAACAGTTATAGTTTCCTCGGCAATATGTTTGAAATGGGGGTTTCCCCAGTAACTCAGTCATGGGGCCCCAAATCATCCAAGTCATTAGGCCATGTTAGTAGCGAAAGCCATGGTGACCTGCGGATCCCCCATTTCGCAGGATTTGGCCCACCTGATGTACAGCATATTCCTTTGCCCCGGCTTGTGGCTTGCTCACATTGGGCTACACGTGAAGTTACAGGAACAATATAATAGTAATAATAATGATACTGATACTAATAACAATTCAATAATAGTATAGTACTAATATGATATAGTAAACATATAACAATATAATATGATAATATAATGATATCATAATATAATAACATAATATAATGATATAGTAACATAATAATATAATAATATGATAATATGATAATATGATAATATGATAATAACATAATGTAATGATTTAAGAATATGACAACATATTAATATATTAGTATGGTAATACATACATAGAATAAAACACACTATATATATATATATATATGTAATACGATATATACATATTAATTTATATATAAAGATACAAGATATACCATATCATTATATGATATATAGATATACATGATATGTTATTCCATATTACATATTACATATTACTTTTTTTTGATAGAAGAACCATGCATTAACATGTATAATTATACACATCATAAATCTTATTACACACATATATATATATATATATACATATTTGTAGCTGATATCATAAGTACTATATTAATGCTGTGTTTATGGATACAATGTCAACCATTGATGGAGATATCATGGAATATGAGCGTTTCAAAAGTGAGGAAACATCCAGTTGTCGGGACAGGAAAAACATCCAGTTGTCATTGGGGAAATCACTGCTGTTTCACGGTCACTTAGAGAAACCCGAGTTGCTGGGATCAACAAACTAGGGCAACATGGCATGAAAAATCTGCAATAGCATGAGAGCCTATATACAAATGATGCGAGCGATGGTTAGACATATTGATTGAAGCATGCTTTCAAGATCGTTTAAGACAACTGGTTTGAGGGTCGTAAACTTATCTAATATGATAGCGCGTATCGACCCAGGCGACCCATGTGCGTGGCTCATGCCCTCACAGATGGCCGACCTTTTTTTGTGTTTTTTTTAAATCAGTTGTTTCCACGAAAGAACTGGAAACATCATGAAACAGCTGGACACATTCTGTGGGATCAGCTCCAATCAGATCAGGTGAACTCAGAAAATCACCGACGTTTCTGGTGAAATCCACGTTGTGAAGATGACATCCCAAAGCCAACCGTTCCTCCCCGGTTACCGTGCATCCTTTTTCTTATGATTGTTCAGTGAATCCAAAAAGAAAGATGATTCAAGTCCATGTGTTTCAGTCCAAGATACATTGATATTTTTTGGTTTAGGATATGTTCGAAACGGTTTGAGTCATTAAAATATCAATTTCTCTTTCGTGATCATGATCTAATCATTAGATTTTATCATTTGTTCTTGATTTAAACAAGTTCTAATGATTTACATCATATGAATCATATATGGGTTTGATATTATATATAGATCTTATTTCTATTCTGCATCTCATCAATTTCTCATCTTTTCTTTGGATTGAAGTCGGATTCAGAAACTCCACACGCTTCAGAATCTCACCGTCGTTTTCAGTTCATCAACTTTTCATAATTTAACTTTCCATATATGGACTTCCATAATAACTTCATAAAAACTTCCTTACTTCCCTTCCATAAAAACGTTTTTTTGCTGAACGGTTCCTTCCCTTTCGAATCCGGGAGGACTGTGGTGACTGGACCAAGGTTGCCCCGTCTGGATCAGCGCCCGTTCTTGGAGCTCCTGAGCGAAAAAACGGGCGAACTGGAGATCGAGGGTTGTCCGAAGTTGTGGGTGCTATAGTTTATCTATGTTTATCTATGTTTATCTATGTTTATCTATGTTTATCTATGTTTATCTATGTTTATCTATGTTTATCTGGTTTCGTAAAGGTTCATGATGGTTGATAATGGTGAAAATAGTGAATGCATGTTGCTGAGTTAAGTATGGTTATGTATGCTTCACAATACTGGTTTTGTTATAAAGCTGGGAACACTCCCATCCCCCAGATTCAGTACCCGCGATTTTGGGGCCCCAATGTGCCAATGAATAGATCCAATGCATTCTACCATGCTTTTGTGTTGGGGTAGTTCATATGATGGGGAGAGAGGATGATCAACCTTCAAAATTCACACCCGACAAAATCTGAAGAAACTCGCACAATTCAGATTAGCAAATGGTAACACCTTAGATACCATTTGGATCCGTTTGGGGTTGTCCGAAAATGGGGTTGGGACCTCAGTGCAAATTGCCCTTGAATAAAAGGACAATCGTGATTTCCTAAAGCAGCGCATGAACATAGGGCACCCCATTTTCAAGCAAGCTATATAATATCAACTATTAGAAATGAGATATGGAACAACCACTTGGGAATTGCTTTTTTTGAGCCGAAGTTCAGACATTTTTCACACATATTGATGAAGCTTGAGTTCTTTCTTGATTTTAATCAGGATCCATGGCGGATAAACAGTTTGTTGGCCCAACTGGATCGTTTGGATCATCACTGATTCATCATCTGATGGGTTTCAGGCATCACGCCCTAGCGATTCGAAGGACGTCGAGGTGTTGGCGGTTTCGGTGAAGCTGCTACTTGAAAGCTGGAGAATTTTGAATAGGATATTGGTGTAACTAATTATTCAGGTCTATATTTTTAGCAGGAGTAAGTACTTACGTAATTTACCGTAAATCTGGCAACTACAACTATCCCGTTAGTGAGCCTTATTTCAGGCTTGTGATGATTTGGACTCAGCAAAATACTATAGTAAATGCCCATGTGAAGAATTGTTTAATCAGATCATTGGGGCTTAATATTGCCATTTGCATGGGGGAAAACGATGGTTAGCGTATTTTTTGACAAACGCATGGATGGGTAGGGGTTCGGTTTGTTGAGTTGCAATTCCTACAAGATTCACACTGGCCTCCAATTTTCATGAAAACATCCAGAAAACATCGAAACATGGCTGGCTGTAACCATCTATTTTAGGCTTCCATTGCCGTGTTATAGATTGAAGGCTAGCTCCGACAGCCCTACCATCGTGGACTCAGGATAGCTCTTCATAGTCGGGTGTCGTAGCCATAGCAAGCCATGGCCGAAAACCTTCAGAAACACTTTGGAAACGGACCAGAGGATCCAGAAGTGGGAATATTCCTTGAAATTTCGCCCAAAACCAATAGGCTTCAAAAAAATCAGTCTGAAAACGGGGTATACCCAGTCGCCACAAGTCGGGTTTTAATATGTTTCAATACTCATGGTCATCCAGGACAACTGGGAGAAACCCAGATGACGTTTTAGGGAAACCTCGATCTATATGGTCAAACTTGCACATCCTTACACCATGTTAGATATACTATTGATATACTCTGGTTGGTGGTTTGGAACTTTTTTAATTTGTCCCATCATATTGGGAATGTCATCATCCCAACTGACTCATATTTTCAGGGGTAGGTATACCACCAACCAGTACTGATATACCCTATTTTGGATGGTTAACAACCATAAATATCCATCAATCCCATCCGTCAATGCCTGGGGCTCCCATTTGCCTAGCAGGTCTTCGATGCCACGAGGGGCGAGGCCACCCGTTACATGGTGAACTCATGGGGATGACATGACCGGCCGCTGCTGTGTGAAAATAGAGCACCTGATCATTCCAGTTTTCCTTCTGGAGTTGCCACCAATTGGGGCCCATCCCCCATTTTTTCACAAACCTAGCTATGAAGAACCATTTTTTTTTCGAAAATAATCTCCCACTGGCATGTTTTCACGTGTTTTCCATACCTATGCGAGGTTTCTGGAAGGTATTTTCAATTGAATGCTGTTTCTGCAGGTTTTGCAACGCTCGGCGAAAAAGCCTGGCGATGCGTGGGAAGAGGCTCATTGCTGGTGGTATATATAGCTTGTGTAACCAACAAACTTGGGGCATAATGCCATTCTGTGGGGAACTGGAGGATCTAAATGGATCTAAGCTGAATTGATGGCAGTTTTCCATGGAGATGGACAACTCCGCATTTTTAGCCCCAATGTCTTTTCTATGTAAAGGTACATTGCGTAGTACAGGACACTCCTACAACATTCCTTTTTATTCATTTTATTCCAAATATTTCAATTTCATTTGAAATAATGCTATTTCATTCCAAATAATCATGTTTCATTCCAAAAAAACATCAATGCTTTTTAGATTGGTTTAAACAACTATTTCCATATGTTTTTGTTATAGCTGGTTTTCTTCTGTTTCTGTTTTTTCTAGAATTCTGCGGATTGCCTATTGTTTTAGATTTATTTTGTTTTTCTCAGATTTTTCAGTTTTTGTGTTATTGTCATTTAGTTTTTTTTTGAACGTTTTGGATAAATAGGTTTTTGAGTTTTTTTCCGCTTTGTTTACTTTATCTTAGGTGTTTTTTTTTGTTTTTTGATTCTTAGAGTTTTTTTTTTCGCATTGTTTGATACTGTTTGGTTTTTTTTGAGTTTTTTCTTTAATGTTCGAGTTTTTTTTGAAAGGATAGGAACTTTTAGGAGTGGCCCTGTCAGGAGTAGCCCAGGGCTCTTTAATGACAATGAACGGTTTGATGCTAAAACATGACCAACAGTGGATCCCTTGAAGCCTTGGTCTGTTGCTACCCGAATGTTTTGACCATCCATTCGACATGCTATCGGTTTTAGTGTATATACGTATAGCAAGCAAAAACAGAGGGAAGAGATGGGCCACTAGAATGTCAAATTTATCATAATTGTTCAGTAAACATTTTAGTGGGATTTGACGAATCTCCAACTTTGTTTGGGGCCAAAGAGATAATATGAGATAATCATGAAACACAAATTAAGCCGTTAATTTTCATAAATCTGACAAAATCAGATGACAATTTTTTCGGCTTTTCTGGGCGCCGTTCGCGACCCTAACTTGATGCATGTTGAACGTTCAAGATCAATGAGGGATCAATTCCCCCCCTTTTTTAACTCCAGTGACACTGATTGACTTTCAACATGGGATCAAATCACCCATAGCATGTCGAGAGATATGGGGAAAGTGATGTTTTCCGGGAAATACCACGGTTTGAGCCATTCATCAAGACATCATCCAATTCATTCCGGGCAAACGGCACATCCTTCCTGTAAAGTCACTACATCTCAACCTTAATCACTTTCCTCAGTAACGAAATAATAAGCGATTAGATGCTGCATTTCATGACTCATATTTCACTATATGAGTAACCGGCAAGATTATTGTAATACTAATTTAGTCTTGCTTCGCCTTGGCCTTTCCGAGGTTGCACAAAACCTTCATAACCGATAGGGGACGACCCTAATTTGTGCATGGCATTAAATTTAACATATAATTTTGTCCGCTACTCATATAATTATCTAAAAATTATATCACATAGTAGTGAATTGTATGATGTGATCATCAATAAAACACCCATCTCAAAACGGGTTTTCTACCGGCCACTACTCCGGTAGGCATCCGATAGCAGCAAGAGCAGTGAAGGGTTTCGATGCTCGGCCGTTACTGTGAGTAGCCTATGGATCAATACCTATGGATATCATAAGGGGGATGAACATCCATAAATCCCAGCTATTTTGAATATATGTGACATACATATATATATATATAATTATATATATGATGATCTATGTTTTTTTATGTGTGGTTAATATCTACTTATAGTGGGTAATTTGGAACATCGCCCATGTGGCTTGATAATTTTCCTATCAAACATGGTAGTTGTCAAACCAAAAAAACGTGAACTGGAAAGTGCATTTTTCTAATCTCTGTCTATGTATCAACTGTTGCTTTATTGCAACGGTTACAAATACCCTCTGGTAATTTAACATGGCTATTGAAAGTCAGCATGTTTAATGGATAAATCAACTATAAATGGGCCATTTTCAATAGCTATGTTGATTTACCAGAGGGTATGCCCAATCATGTACCACTAGCATTTGGGAATATTTAGGCCTCGTATTTTGACCGGGGTTTATCACTGGGTATACTGTATCAACTCAGGTTATCGAATGGTTTCCTATCTCATGAGTTTGTGAAATACTTCAAAAAAAACAAACGGTGACAGATGTTCCTTTTCATGGGGTTTATCCACATAATATCACCAGTGTATCACATTCTATCACCATTCTATATCACTATTTTCTCACCATTACATCACTATATCGCCCTTGTATTCCCATCATATCACTACCACCTTTGTACCACCAGATCCTCTATCACTACAAGGTGGGGTTTAAAAATGGGAGTCGTTCGGTCCATGTAAGGGTTCTAAATTGCCAAGGCCAGGGTTACAACATGAGACCCAGCGAAGGTTTTTTTCTGAGTTAGCGAAAGTAACTTTGTTTGGGCGAAAGATTTAGGGAACGATTTGAACATGAGCCCCCCGCGAAAGATAAACGTGGGGTTCGGGAAAGATTCGCGAAAGTGCTTTTTTGATTCGCGAAGAATTGCCGTTTGCAGAAAAAATAATTTAGAGCAACCACCATATATATAATTATATATAAATATATATAATATATAATATATAATATATAATATATTATATATAATATATAATATATAATATATAATATATAATATATAATATCTAATATATATAATGTATAATATGTAATTTATAATATATAAATATATATAGTATATAATATAATATATATATAAATATCATTTTATATTTTATATTGTGAATTATATATAATAGTTCATAATATATATATATTATGTATATTATTACTATATATTATATTTTATATACTGCATGATATATTTTTTTTGAATTATAACATAACATATTTTAAATGTATGATAATATATACATATTTATTTATATTATTTAATAATTAGAAAATATATACATATATATATAATATAATATGTATATATAATATACAATATAGTATATGATATATTGTTTTTAATTTTAATGTTTAATATATACTCTAATAGTTTTGTAATATATAGTATGTAACCCATAATATGAAACATATAATATATAACATATATTATATAACATCACTGGTTGTGCCCAGCGAGAGTTTCGTCAGAACCCAGGAGATGTGGATTTTGTTCTTGGCCCATCCGAACTCACCGGGAAGTTCGCTATGCTCGGTTTTTCTCCCGGAAGCTCCCTGGTGAAACCCCGACCACCCAGGGTGTGAACATGGCCCAGTCGAAGTTGATTTACCCATTGAAAATAGTGATTTTCCATGGTTTTTGGAATATTTACCAGAGGGTAGTAAAATGAAGGGTTTGGGGATTTGTCCAAGAATTAATGGATATGAAAATGGATCTGAATTGATGCAGATTTAAAACTGCGATTCATGAAGCATTCCACCAGCTGCTGTGGATTTTAAAACTTAGAAGTTGACATGTGGTGGCATGCACCAAACATAGCATGGCCACTGCGCAAGGATGACATGTGACTGCCATTGCAAAATGGCTCAAGCCAACGAAAGTTGGCTCAAGGGCGAGACGAAAAAGGTCTTGCCTAGCAGCTGCTGCTTCAGCTGTTGATCCACGGGTTATGAGCCCAAAGGATCTCAGCTGACATGGAGTTGTCCAGTCGTCGAGAGTCTTCCCTTCAGCGAAGAGCTGCTGCTGCTGTTAGCGCTGTGAAAGCTGCCGGCTGCGCAGACGACCTGATGGAGGAGATGTTGGAAGAAGCTGCTGGGTCCGGAACTGGTGGGTCTGTTGGAGCTCTAACTGGTGAACCTAATACCACTGAACCTGTGAATAGTGGGGGTATGTTAGATGCTTTGGGACCTGTAGGACCTCCGTTGTCTTTTTCCCCTGGTCAGCCACCCATGTTAGTTGAGAGAGCTAAGGGAATGCAAAACCTCGAGGTGAAACAAAACGTTGAAAACACACCTGGTGTCAAAAGGGTCGTTGTGACAGAGCAACAAACTGGGAACCCACCAAATGAGGGGCATAGAACTACCACCGAACCAGTGCAGGGGATTGTGAATGAACATAGTCCTAGAGATGGTGCTGGTAAGGGAAAGGGGTCTAGCTCTGAGCCTGGCAGAAGGGAACCCAGAAAAACTGTTGCCGCAGAAGCACAACACTCAAACCGGGATGTGCAGAGCTCACGTGTGAGGGGTTCTGAGGGTGTTGAAAATGTGTCGCAGGACTCACGAATGAGGGGTTCTGTTTGTGAAACTGTGTCCCAAGACTCACGCATGAGGGGTTTTGGTCGTGAAAATGTGTCTCAGAGCTCACGTGTGAGGGGTTCTGAGGGTTGTGAAATTGTGTCGCAGGGCTCACGAATGAGGAGTTCTGTTTGTGAAAATGTGTCTCAGGGCTCACATGTGAGGGGTTCTGAGGGTTGTGAAACTGTGTCCCAAGACTCACGCACGAGGGGTTTTGGTTGTGAAAATGTGTCTCAGGGCTCACATGTGAGGGGTTCTGAGAGTTGTGAAAATGTGTCACCGGGTCCCACTGGAAAGGGTTCGGGTGTTGTGAGTGAAACCATGCCTCAGGGCTCCAATGTGAAGGGTTCAGGGGTTCAAAGGTTTTACATAGGTGATGGGCCTCAGGGCTCCGGAGCCGTTGTTGTGGCGCCTCAGGGCACCGAAAATGTTGTTGTGGTTCCAGACCAAATGGGGAGTGTTGTGAATCCCTTCTGGAGCGAAACTCAGCAGCGTGAAGCTGTTCGAGAAGCATTCGGGCCTGGGTACGATGTGAGTGCCTTGGGTTTGCAGCCGGGTTCAAATGCGTCGACACCCCAAAAAGTTCATGTGGGACAAAGGGAAAGTGTTGATGTTGAAATGGATCCAATTGAACTGTTCCGATTGCGTTGTTTGAGAGATGCTGAAGAAAAGTTTCGGCAGGGTTTGTTGAATATGGGGATGAGTGCTAAGGAGTCAAGGGTTGAAAAACATGAGAATGAAAAAGGGTCGCATGGTTCTCAAAGTTCATATGTTTCGGCAGTGGATTTCCAAGAGCCGGTTGCCCCCAAATCTCATGATGTGGTTGAATCCCAATTGGTTCATGATCCAAATGTGAGGGTTGTACCTGAAAAGGCTGTGACGTTCACGAGAGTTGCACCTGAAGTTGTTGTGCCAACTGTGTCAAATGTTGTTGAATCATTTGTGCCTAGGCCACCACCTGGACCTCCACCACCATCGCCGCCAAGAATGTTGAATAGTGTATGTGGGTTAGGGTCAGTAACACCTCAAATGCCACCTGCACTGCCGCCTTTTCCTGCGTCTGTGGCAGGAACCTTGCAAAACTCAGGTGGTGAAAATCCATCTGAAAATCTCAGGACGGTGGAGCTTCCGAAGTTGTCAATGGATGCCACTGCTCTGCAATTTGGTGATTGGCTCAGCATCATCGATTCTCTCATGGGTGACTTGTCTTACTCATCGGGGGATTGGTGGACCATGGTCAGGGGAGCTGTTGATCAATGTTACAGGGATTGGTTGAATGTTGGACCAATTGAAAGGCTTAGGCTTCGTCCACAAGTGGATCCAAGGGTTCAATTGTGGCCTCGAACGGAAAGAAGGGCCTTAGCTATGCTTTTGGGAGCCATTCCTGACCCCATCAAAGAAGAAGTGATTTCAGCTCGCAAACTGACCACTGACCAAGTGTTGTATAAGTTGTGCATCACCTTCCAACCGGGAGGTGCCACTGAACGCACAAAGTTGTTGCAGAACCTCACGGACTCCAAATGTGGTTCCAATGTTCATGAAGTTTTGGACTGGATTCGAACCTGGCGACGGTTTGTTCAAAGGGCCAGGGAACTCCATGTCACGTTGCCTGATGGTTTGGTTTTGTTAGGGGCTTTGAACAAATGTACTGATGTTTTGAGTGGAAAATCCCCACAAGTGGCATATCGTCTCAACATGATCCGCCAGCAGTTGAATGTGGATCAGTTGCCGACAGCAGAGACGATCTTGAGCTACTCCGAGCATCTGCAAGCTGAAGCTGAAGAGCTGACTTTGAGCACGCCTGCGAAGGCGACTTCGGCTGTGAGGGCTGCTGCTTTGGGTGTGCCACCGCCTCCTGGGATCCCTCAAAATCCTCAAAGTTCCCAAAACCCCCAAAATGAATCGGATCAAAGGTTTCCGAACTCAAAAAGAAAGCCTTGTAGGTATTGGATGAGTGAAAAGGGGTGTCAAAGGGGTGATCAATGTTCTTTTGGTCATGCCAATTTGGATCCCCAAAGCAACAGATGTTTCAATTGTTCTGCTGTCGGTCATTCCAAACGTGATTGTCCTTTGAAAAATGCAGGGTCTGACTCAAAACCTGATCCCACCAAAAAGAGGGTTGCCAAAGTGTCAAAACCAAGTGGAAAAGGGACCCCCGAAAAGTATGGGAAGGGTATTGGGGAACATAGTAGCCCTGAAAAAACTACTGGGGATGTTGCTGCAGCAGAGAAGTCACTTGGATCGGAAACTGCGTACAGGACTGGGCCGGAAACTGGGGACGGGGGAGAAAGTACTCCTGAAAGGGTCACTGGGCTGTTGAGTGAAGCCGCTACTCTCCTGAAAACCCTCAAACCGGTTGCCAAAGCTGTCAAAATCAAAAGGGTGAATGCTCCTGATGGACCCACAGGTCTTTTGGATGGTGGGGCAACAAACGCTTTGAGAAGGGGAACCCCAAAAGAACTGGCTGAAGCTGATCCTGTTGTTGTGGAGTTAGCCCATGGGTCGGTTGAACTGAAACAACATGCTTTGACGGGGACCATTCTCACTGAACATGCGGTTGAACCCATTGTGCCATTAAGGGGATTAATCGACCTTGGTTTTGTCATCAAATGGAGTACCCATGGTTGTGAAATCAAACACCCCTCAAGAGGAACCATTCAGTGTTGGTTGCGAAATGGGTGTCCTGTTGTGTCTGAAAAACATGCGTTGGGGTTGATTCATGACATTGAGTCTTTGGAGTTAGTCAAAAGAATCCCTTCTGAAAGTCCTGAAACCGTGTCTGAGACTGCGCATGAATGGTGGTCACAAAGGTTTCCGAATGTTCCCAAAAGAATTTGGAGATACATGAAGGGTCAAGGGGTTGACACTCCAGGGGTTCACTTGCCTTGGAATCGTGCCCAAAGGCGTCGACATGCCCAAGCTAAGGCGATTGTCATCCACTTGTATGCCGGTGAAGCATCTAAGGATGGGAGTCTTGGTTGGCCTGCTGACGTTGAAATGATCACTTTGGACGTTCGAGATGGTCAGAATGTCCACGATGCTGCAACTTGGGCCTACCTTTGGCGACTTGCTGCATCTGGTCGTGTCGTAGCTGTGTTGGGGGGACCACCATGTCGTACTGTGAGCAGATTGTTGGAGAAAACACCAGGACCACCAAGGTTGCGTTCAAGAAATGGTCCTGAAAGGTTTGGGTTTGAACACCTCAATGAATCCCAACAACAAAAAACGGACAGTGACACTGCGCTGTACTTGAAACAGTTGGGGTTGTACATGCATGCTCACGAGTCATGGGATGGTTCAAGATGGCCCCACATGAAACATGTTGCGAATAGGGTTGGATTTATGTTGGAATCCCCTCAAGACCCCAAAACTTACCTCCAAAATGGTGAAGGGGATGAGTCTGCGAGTTTTTGGGCTTGGGATGAAACAAGGGATTTTCTTGAAGCTTTCCAACCAAATGGAATGGAGTTGATCAGTTTTGACCAGGGTGCGTTTGGGCATACTCGGAAAAAACCCACAACATGTATGACCAATCTCCCTGACATGAAAGAACTTGATGGTTGTCGCTCTGGTGAACATGAACGACACTTGGCGGTGAACTTGGATGAAAGGTTGAACCAAACTGCCTCTTGGTCACTTTGGGCACCAGGGTTGAGGGCTGCCATCAAAACGTCTTTGTTGGTTTTGGTTGAATGGTATGGGATCTCACCACCAAAATTGTCCAAAAGTTTGGGGTTGGATCAATGGAAACAACATATTAATCAGGGACATCAACCATACCGACGGGATTGTAGGACATGTATACTTAACATGGCTGGGTCAAAACCACACCGACGTAGGGAACATGCTGGGAGTTCTGCTTGGACCATGTCTGTTGATTTGGTGAACCTCCCCAAAGCACGTGACCTTGCTACCAAAAAAGTTGTGAGATATGGTTTGGTTGCCACAGCCCTTGTTCCGGTGTTTGACTCTCCT